GCTTCAGAGGACTTTAACAAATCTTAAAGATATTTTTGTTCTGTCTTTCCCTTGGTGTGTAAGTCTGTCTCTGACTTGTAGGCTACTAGGCAGTGGGCACCCTCTATGTCTGTCTTCTATACGTCTAGATCACTGTATGTCTAGACTTCTCACCTGAAGTTGTCTCCTCCTTGTGCGTGATTCTCTTCTTCCCCAGTTGGTGTTTAGTCCCTGCCACTCAGCTGACCTTTGATAAACCATGAGTCCCTCTATCCTCCGTCTACGTCAGTGAGTCTTAGCCACCAGTAGGTGTGGTGAAGACCGAGAGAGATTTACCTGTTAATCTTTTGAAAATGTTTTACCTATTAAATTAATTTAAATTGAGCGTTGTCTGTAGATTTCATTTATCCACATCCTTCCTGGCTTTGGTTTCCAAATGGCCAAACATTGATTGGACTCTCCTTTAACTCTTAGCTCCCATTGCCTTTATGATCCCCCTCACACAGGGCCCTGGCTCATTCTCTTCACCAGACTGTGGAATCCTGGGAGGACCAGGGACAGCTTTACACTTTTCGTTGTGCCTTGTGCTGTGTAGGTGTTTAGTAATCATTTGTTGGGTGGATAATTCTGGTAGATGGAACTTAAGGACATAAGCCACAGAAAAGTAGTTCCTATGTGGCAGCTTTGTTTTGTTATCTGCTAAAAGAATGTTACACCACCAGCTGAGAGAAGTGCTTACTGCTTACTGTGTGATCGATCATGACGTGGGTTTACAAGCATGCTAACATGGCGTTATAAGCATGCTAACATGCTAACAAAGCACAGGTATTAAACCACAAGAATGAAAAGTAAGGTTTGGCTTTTCTTCCTGATAATCTGTGCATAAAATTTGTCAGTCCAGAATCTCCCAAAGGCACCTCTGGAATGTGAGCTCTGGGTGTCTTTTGGGGTTTTGTGGGCGGGATTATCAGAGCCATTGGTCCTGTCAAGTGGTTTGACCAAGAGGAAGATAGATCTAATTCAGAGCCGTGCACAGCCTTTTAAAACAAAAGTCTTGTTTCCCAGTGTCTTGGTTTGTACTATGACTTGATTTGAGTTGGCTGTGAAGAATGTAAGTGATTGTTCTCAAGTTCCCATGTGTTTTAAAATTTTTGTTAGAACCAGGATGTTTTAATGGTTACCATAGCAGAGTAGAAGACAAAAGTTTAACTTCCATTTCAGCAAGATGAGCTTTAGAGATGGAAGAACTGAGGATGTGAGTGAATGCGACTGATGTAAAGGTCTCCGTTCTTCTCCACATTGGTGACCAGCGCCAGAGGGACAAGAAGCTGCGGGCCTGACCTCACTGATGCGCAGCCTTCCCTCCACAGCTCTGGGTTCTGTGTCCTCTCTTCCCACCACCTCCCGTGTTTTCAGGGAGGAAGAGCCTTGCCCCAAACGTCCGGAGACCTGAGTCTGGGACCTGCCCTTCCTTTGACTTTGGACGGGCGTTAGCCTAGGGCATCCTGTTTCCTAGGTGGCACGTTGAACATTTGTGGGGACATTTTAGGTTGTCACAGTTATGGGTGTTACATTATGTAGGAGTTCGACTTCATTTCAGGATAATAAAGGTGGTGCTATGAGTATTATAAAAAGAGGGTGGTGGATCTTTAGCACTGGGGACCACTTGAGTAGATCATCGGGCTCTCTAAGCTTTAATTTACCTTTTTCTGAAATGGAGATGATGCCTGTCCTAGCCCTCTCTCAGAATTATTTTGAAGATCAAATGTGGAAATAACGTGAATCTGACTCTCTCTGAGTGTGTTTCCTTGACTGCAAAATGGAGACAGTGCCGGCTTAGCCACGCCCTCGTAAGGGTTAAGTAGGTCACATATGTGAAGCACGTGGTGAGTGGTAAGCAGATTGCAACGAAAATGTGTCCACCATCAGTTAATTATTTGATCCTGACTTCCTGCCATTGAGTGCGCTCCCTCACCTCCTGTCTTTCTGGTGTCTGGATATGTTTGATGTTCCCTCTTTACATCCCAGACCTCACTGTGTGCTTTCTCTGGATTTTTTTTTTTTTTTCCATCTTCTCTGCCTGTCCTGATCTGCTCTTTCCTAAAAATTTCTCTTGTCTAACCTTGCATCAGGCCCAGCCGGAAGTGTCTTCTCCGTCTGTGCGTCTCCTGTTCAGTCGTTTACTCCTTGGAAGGATTGCTTGCAACTCTGTTGATTTTCCGCAACCGGGAGACACGCTCTAGGATGAAACAGACCGGCAAACCTAACCCTTTTCTTCCGTGAGGACAATAACCACCCAAGCAGTAAAGCTAAATAGTTATAGACTTTTCAATCAGGAAAGAGCTTTAGGGAATTACTCTCCATTGCATAGAATAGGTGCTTTACATACTTCATATCTTTTTTTTCTCATAATAGTATTAAAACGTAAGTATGGTTACTCACATTTTATAGGCAAAGAATCTGAGACTCAGAGATGTTAAATAACTTGCCCAAGGTCACTCATCTAGAAGGAGAAGGGCAATTGAAACCTCTCTCTTTGTCTTCAAAACCCAACTTCCACTATTTTATTCTCTGTCTTAAGGGAAATGAAGTTTTAATCATCACTGGAAAATAGTGTTTGGGATAACAAATCTGAAAGAGTCAATATTAAATTAAAAAAACATGAAACAGCAGTCTTCTCCAGTGTAGGAACAGCGAAGGCGTGGACGCTGAGGAACAGGTGTTAGATGGCCACATCAGATGCCAGATGGTTGTTTTGCTAGGATACCAAAGGAGGGGACAGGGGCTCATCCTCAACTGTCATGAGAAAACCCAGGAAAGCATACAGAATGCAGCAGCAAGCAAGTTTGACTACCATGGTGGCAAGTGCCCAGCCTCAGGGACCAGACGGGCTCTGGGTCCCAGCTCTACGGTTCTTTCAGCTGTGGGACCTTGGGCAGCTTCCTTATTTGTCCTTTCTGTGCCTAAGTTTCTGTGTTTGTAGAATATGGGGATGGTAATAGACCTACCCCTCAGGGTAGTTGTGAAAAGAAAAGAGATAATACACATAGAGATTTAGAACAGTGCCTGGCACATGATAAGGACTCCATAAGTGGTGGTGCTTCTTGTCATTATTGTTAATATTGAGGCTGAGGAAAGTATTGCAGAGACAACTTCAAAATTCCTGCTGCTTGGCAGGGGCCAGAAGCCGACGGCGTCGAATCAGTCTCAGAGGCCTTATGGCTGTGTGATCAGATCCTTGCTAACTCTGTGGACGGTCCTTCCAAGGTTCTCCCACCCACGTGTGTCTGGCAGTGTGTCCAGTGAAGGCAGGCCTTAGAGCCGGGCCACACTCTGCAATAACAGTAATAATTTTCTCTAAGAGACAAGCTTGAGGCGCTAAGCAGTTGTGATATTAAAAGCAAATAGCAACACACTCTGTTCTTCCTCCAGGAATCCAGGAGAGAGGCATGAATAGTTTATGAAGGTTTTTTATTTGCCGATCAGAGCCTTAATAAAGTTCGGTTTGCCTGCTTTTACTGCTTCGGTTATTAACTGTGTAAGGCTGTGTGCGCCTGAAGGCACCTGTTTGGCTGGCAAGGTGTTGAGGAACACCAGGGAGAGATTCCCTGATGAGATGCGGAAAACGTTAAAGGGCTAGATCTCGAAAGGGAATCTCAGCCTGTTCCTGGCCTCGCTGTTCTGGCCAGCTGTGGGCAGCTGCTCCTCTCCTCCCCACTGGAACATGGGAATGAGACCGAGATGGTCATCTAACCGACTGGCACTTGCTCATGCCGTGCGGGAAATGGCAGTTATTCTTTCTTCAGCTTCCTTTGATGCACCTTATGATACCTGTGTGGTTGTTTCCTCTTCATAAAGGCCTTAGAGCTGTGCTGCCAGCTGCAGGCGCACAGCCCTGCTGGTCACGGGCTTATGTGGCTCTGTGGCCATGACATGAAGCTTAGTTGCTAACAGAGAGGGTCCTCACCAGCCTTTACACCTGCCCCAGGGTCCCTTTCCCTAGAATTCCAGGAGGCCCACAGTGGCAACCCTGTCCCTAATTTCTAGGGTTTGGAAAAGCTGCTGTTGAATGGGGCCCTTGCTGTACAAAACACCATGGTTCAGAAAGATGGGAATGAAAGAGCCATGGGCAGTACCTGCGGCGGCTCCTTCCTAGGACTTCCCACAGCCGGAAATGCCGCTGCTGTTCAGGTGACAGCCACTCATTGTGTTTTCCCTGCCAGCTCAGGGTGGCGCGGGCCCTGCCCTTGCCCAGGAGAGCAAAGGGAGGGAGGTCAGGGAGGTTGGGTGTGGGAGGAGGTGCCGTGGCTCGCCCTCTGTTCTCTGAACGGTGCCCGAGAGGATTTCTCATAAACCGTACATGGAGATGCAAAAAATGAACAAATATTCTCCGTTTTTATTCCTAAAGGTCAACTTCATGTCTTAGCCCCTGTCGTGCATTAATAATGTGACATTCACTGGCTCTTAACGTTTCTCATTAAATCCTCACAGCCCTCTGAGGAAATTACTAGTACCCTCATCTTTACAAAAAGGAAACCAAATCTGGGGCCAGCCTGGTGGCATAGTGGTTAAGTTCATACACACTACTTTGGAGGCCCAGGGTTCCCAGGCCCGGATCCCAGGCAGGGACCTACATACCACTTATCAAGCCATGCTGTGGCTTGTGTCCCACATATAAAATAGAGGGAGATGGGCACAGATGTTAGCTCAGAGCCCATCTTCCTCAGCAAAAAGAGGAGGATTGACAGCAGATGTTAGCTCAGGGCTAATCTTCCTCAGCAAAAAAAAAAAAGGAAACCAAATCTGAGAGAGATTAACCTTCCCACAGTGTCCCATCTAGTAAGAGATGGCACAAGAATTTGAACCCAGGTCCAACTGCAAGGTCATCCATTTAGCTACGATGCTAAGCTTTCTCTTGGCTTTGTGTCCTTTATTCTTCTCTAACTCCACAGTGTAAATGCTGCCTGCAATATGTTGAGACCATTTCATGGTCTGTGATTTGCATTGGTAAATTCATGTAAATTGATTTTTTAATATTCAGCTTTCTGTGCTTGGAGGTTCATTTCCATTCAGTTTCTTTATGCTCTGTAAGGAGGAGCCTTCCTCTTTTGAACAGAGCACGGAATGTTCAGACATCCAGGACATGCCCAGGGGAGCCCTGAGGGAGAATCTCTGGTGGGAGGAGCTTACCAAGGGGACCCTGTTCTTCCTTCTCTCCCCTCCTGGTCTCCCTTCCTCTGATCCCTGCCACTCTTCTCCCCAACAGAGATCCTAATTCCCCTCTTTCTTTCCAGCCCAAAGCCCTTTCTTGAGGCATATGTGAGAAGTGAATTGACATTTTCAAAAGACCTTTTGCTGAACAGCAGGGAAAACCAAACGAAATTAGTAACAGAAAAGTATTTTTTTAAGTGCATGTTTCTGTTTCTAAAACTATGAATTTTCCTGAGCCACTAACCCTTTGCCCTAAGATGGTTACCCTTTAGCACTTAATAGATGTGAACAACCTCCCAGCCCTTTGCCTGGCCTATAGGTGCCTTCTTATTTTCCCAGCCCCTGGGATCTTGTTTGTTTGCCACCCATTCCTTTTTGAAGTGCAAACCTTTTTCTCTAGATAGGGTCCTCACAATCAATTCTAGTTTCCAGTCTGCAGTATAGTGATGGTTTTAATATAAGTCCACAAATTCTCCTCCATTTAATAGGTGGAGACTAATTCTCTTCCCTTTGAGTGTGGGCTGTGCTCGATGACTCACTTCTAATTACTAGAAAGTTGAGGAAGTGATGGTGTTAGATCTTGGAGACTAGGTCATAAAAGGCACCGTGGTTTCCATTTTGCTGTCCTTTGGATTACTAGTTCTGGGGGAAGCCAGCTGCCACGTCGTGAGGATGTTGAATCCTGTGGAGAGGCCCACATGGCAAGGAAATGTGGCTTCCTGCCAACAGCCATGTGAGCGAGCCACTGTGGAAATAGATCTTCCAGCCCCACTCAAGCCTTCAGATGAGCACAGCCCCATGTGGCATCTTGACTGCAAACTCTTGAGAGATCTGGAGCCAGAACAAGCAAAGCTGAGCCACCCAGCTAAGCTGCTCCTGAATTCCTGACCCACAGAATCTGTGACATAATAAATGTTTGTTGTTTTAGACCACTAAGTTTTGGGAGTAACTTGTTATGTAGCAACATATAATCAATATAGGTCTGCACCTAATTTTTGAGTGCTATTTGGGGCAATGATTGTTATATACTAATTTTCCCATCTTTACTTTCAGTTTGTTCTCATGTTTAGGAACTTACCAGCTAGGTAAATTATTTAAGCTAAGCTTCCGTTTCTTTCTTTCTAAGATGAGGATAATAATAGATTCTACCTCAATGAGTTGTTGTGGGTACCTGGTTCGTAGTAGGGCACTCAATGAATGGGGAGCTGCTAGTATTTTTAGTATATTCTCAGCTAATAGAATTCTTGGTTCCTCTCACTTTTTAACAACCCATTCTTTTCTCTTATTGCTACAAACTTCTCACTTCCTTGAGAAACCTGGTCAAGAACTTCCTGTAATATGTGGACATGGGTCTCTTTTTGTCCTTACCGTGTTGTACTATGACTGATTGTGTATGGATCTCCCCGATCGACAATAAGCTTCGTGAGGATAGGGAGGAACCTACTGTCTTTGTTTCCATAGTGCCTAAGACCAAATAAGTGAATGGATAAGTTACACAGCATCCTCTGCTGTATTTGCACATAAGTTATTATTGGCACTTAATGTCATTAAAATGAGTAACTCCCGTCTCCAGCCAAAGAGGGTACCTATTAAAAAACAAAAGTCAACTGAAGAGTCTGTTGTTCCTTTTGCTCTCTGCCTTTCCAGCCCAAGAAACCTATGATTTTATTGCTGATTTGTTGTGGGTAGATAATTGCTCCATATTTTTTGGTCCATAATTTTTTAGCCTATAGGGGCCATGTGGAAGTCAGGGAAAATGTTGCTGTGAGAACTTCTTCACAATAACTGAAATATAGTTGATTATTTGAGGCATTCTACATTTGAAACTATAATTCCAATTATTTACGCACAAATTTTCATAGAGAGGACATTAAACATTTTTCTCTAATGTTAGAAGGCAGTGTAGATCAGGGAAAGTGAACAGGATTGTTTCTGACCTCAGTCCAAATCCGGATTCCAGAATTAACAAGCTATGTAGCTGCCCAGCTGTGGCCCCAGCTGTTTTTCGCCGAGTGTCGGTGTGTTCGACAGTGAACAACGTCAGAGAATACTACTTACCCCACCCTACCCCTAGCCAGGCTTCCATGAATCTTCCCATCCTATATTCCCTTTCTCTGGTGTCTGCTGATCTATTAGACACTTAGTAGGTATTTACCATATACCAAACAATGCTGGGCACAGGGGCTCTACCTATAAACAAGACCTCGACTCTACCCCTTAGGACTTCCTGACTGATAAGTTGGGGTCTGCATGCGGTGTGAATGGGTACCAGGCAGCTCTCCAGCATGGCATTATTGGGTTAAATTTCTCTTAGCACAAATTCTGGGTCACATTCAGCCCCTGGTGATTGCATCTTTCCAGTTGGTAGGTTTGTGGGCTGTGGAGCACTGCAGTGTGTGTTTACTTTCAGTCTTGCTCTGCTGAGGGAAATCTGAGACTTCTTATTCTGCTGTTAAAATGTTAATTAGTTATACCTGAGACTGTAAACATCCTGTAAGCCAAAATTATCCACTTTAATATTTTTTCTGCTGAAGCCAAATGGGAGGGAAGCCAGATCTGGTGGAATGTGAGCCTGATGCTCCAGAACCAAAGGCAAAGGGATGCTCAGCAGAATTTAACCAGGGAGGAGGGACTGTCCCCATGGTAAACACAAAACCAGTCAGGAGGGTCCTAGAAGCTGCAAAAAGACAACTTGTTCCTGTGGCCCAGTGTCTTTTCTGGTAGTTCTTGACAAAATGTGTCTATCCAAAGCATCCCATCCCGTCCTGTCCCGTCCCAGCCCAGTGCCTGCTGCAAATCAGAAGTAGTGCAGACACAAGAGACGAGGTTCTTATTCCCAAGAACTCTGTGATCTAATAGAGATGGATAATTGACAGTTACAACATGGTAGTAGAGATTTTAAAAAAGCATTAGCATCCAGTGTTGGTAAAGAAAAAAGGAGAGGAATATTCTTAAAACTGATGCTGAGAGAATTAATTGATGCAGTTGTTCTGAAGAGCGATTTGGTAATACTGAAATGCTCTAATTTGTATTTCCATTTGTCAAACAATCCCACTTACAGGAATCTATCTGGAGCACATAATAATGGAAATGTGCGTGGATGTGTAAGAATGTTTATTATTGATTCTTATGATAGCCAACAAATGAAATGTCCAGCAATTGATTATTAGTTAGTGACAACCTTGTCTGGACATAAATTGGAATATAATGCAGTCTTGAAACAATGTATTTTGGAAGAAAGGTGAGTGATCTATGAAATGTTAATGCCACGTTGTTAAATGAAAAGAGTGGGTCATAAAACAACAAGAATAATGTTCCAATTTTATAGTATATTTATAATAAATATATGCATAAAAAACAATGTTGACGGCTGTCTCTGAATTACTTTAATCTTCAAATTCTTGTTCTTTGTGGATTCCCAAATTTTCTACAATGAACATGAATCACCTTTGTAGGCACGAAAAGCTGTTAACACTAGTAACGGTAGTAATATTACTAGCTACTAGTATAGCAACAGTTGTAATAGAAGTGCAGCTTGGCTAAGGGCTTTGACCAAGTGCTCTGGGGCACCGAGACGAGAGTTCAGGAGCGGAGCTCAGCTGGAACGAAGCTGTTCTGTTTCTCATGTTCCCATGGGTACATTGATTCATCAACAGATACCTGTGTTTGCGCATGTGAGTCAGGCAATCAGGTTAGAGAGGTAGGCAGGAGCCAGATTCTATAGGGCTATGCAGGCCATGTTAGGGTTTTGGATTTTATTCTAAATGAGATGGGAACTTTTGGAGGATTTTAAACTGAGGAGTGGCATGATCTGATCACGTTGTCTGCTCGTATTATGTCAGAGGTAGGTGTGGAGAGAGGGCTGCCTGTTGAAGTGTTTGGAGAGCTGGAGTCCTTGCACTACCACATGTTTGTCCACTTCAGTGCTGGCTCCATACGGTCAGGGAGGTGGCTGTGAGCCCCTGTGTGCCGGACAGCTTTCACTGGCCGCTCCGGATCCCCCTTCTCCACCCTGCTCGGAGCCTGGGACGTGGACTTGTGTGAAACAGTTGCCAGGCTCCCTCACCTGCTGGTTTCCCATGGTTCAGCCAGTGGGGAGGCCAGCGAGAGTGGTTGGTGGGGAGAAGAGCGATACTGGGGGGATTTGCCTGACTTCCTCCCTGTTAAGTTGCTTCTGGCTGCTGAGTCCCTCAGCCGCAGGTTTCAGCTCCTGTCGAGGAGACCCCCGACCTTACTCTCCTCCTGCTGTCGGTAAATGTTCTCTCCCTTAACCCCTTCGGGCCGGGGTCGTGACAGTCCCTGTGGTTATGAGTCCTGGGGTGCGGTACTATCTCCTGAGGTTTCCCAACACTGCCCTCACCTTTGCAAACACTCCCTTTATTAGTCTCCCCTCAAGGTACGCAATTTGAGTTTGCATCTGTTTCTAGCAGGCGCTCTGTCTGATGACCCACCTTCTTCCTGGTGAGATCTGGGATGTTCTGACTGAACAGGAGCCCGCAGCCCAGAGTGGCCTTGCTGAGGGCTTCCTTTAGTGGAACTTTCCAGAATAGGCCTGGATAGCCGTGGTTCCAGCTGAGGTCTAGGGAAGCGGATGCATTCAAGGGCACTTCTAGGTGATCAAAGAAATTAGAACACAAATGGGCTATTTGGTTATATTAAGGATTTATTGTCAAATTCTTTAGATATAATAGTTGTGTTGTTGTGTTTTAAAAAAGAGTTGTTTTAGAAATACATCCTAAAGTATTTATGGGTGAAATAGGATATTTGGGATCGATTTCAAAATTATGCGTGGGGAGGTGGATATTGATTGGGAGTTTAACCATAAATTAATAATTATTAATGCTTGATGATAGTTACATGGGAATTCAGTGCATTTTAATGTTCTCTCTCTTTTGTATGTTTGAAGTTTTTATAATAAAAAGTTTGCAGTTCACATGCCAACATAGGTTTGGTGGAAGATGAGCCCCCAGGAAATATCTCTTAAGTCCTCTTACTTCTTGAGAAGCAAACTAATGTATAACCTCCCTTTCTATGTGATGTTTACTACTCAGCCACTCACTGATGTTAAGCATCTTTTCAGAGGCTGTTTTGGGGTCGTCTGTCATCAAGAAGTGGCAGAGTGTTTTGCCATAACGACAGCAGAGGATGTTTTAAGTTATGCTGTGCTTTGTACTTTCTAAAATAATGTCTCCCATGGGAATAAGCTCACTGGATGGCAGGGTTTGCTTTTAGATTGGGTTAAAGTTGCACCAAAACAGTGGTTTTTCAGGGAAGTCAAAGGGTGCTGTGGAGACAGGGTATGGGGCTGAGAAACTGGGATGCCCTTGGGGTGTCTCAGCCTTCTCCCCAGCAAGCTGTGTGGGTTTGGACATGTCATTTAGCTTCTCTAAGCCTCAATTTCCATATGTAAGGAGTAAGAGGATTGGACCAATTTCTCTAGTCTCTTCCCATTGCCACCATTTTATTTTTAATGATGCCTTTCTGACTAAATATATTCATGCTCACGAGAGAAAATCAGAAGCATGTGGAAAACACAAACACAGAAATAAAAATTGCCTTAGTTCTGCCACCCAGAAGATAGCTCTTCATGTTTTCAATGCCTATACACGTTATTGTTCTGGAGAATCAAATTTGTGTAACGTATTTTGTTGAACAACTAATCTGTAGGTTGTGTCGGCCATTGAAGGAGTATAAAGATGAATAAACGTGGTCTCCAGGAGTTGGTAATTGAATGGCAAACACTGTTCCCGACATCTTTATACGTCAGGTACTTCCCTCGAGAGAGAGAAGCCTTTCCATCTGTCACTTAAATCTGCCGAGTTTTAATGCCATTTGTGGTATAGTTTTGCTCATATTTGAAGACTTTTTTTCTGAATGTTATTTCTTCTGATTATGTGGACGAGGAGAGCTCTATAGGCAGGCTCACGAGGAAGGGCCAGACTTTCTCCATTATCTTCAGTTCCTTTGATTGTTTACCCCAAGCGCATCAGGGCTGACGGGGAGAAGCAGCTTGTCTGCTGTGACTCTCACCTGCTCCTCCTCAGGCCACACTGCCGCCTCTGATGGAGGCGTGATGAGCAGTGTGACAGCCACAGAGGGGGAAGGCTGACAGCGGAGGAGAAAACCTTAGGAGTAACGGATCCTCTGGAAGCCAGTCCACCCTTCCTCCCTGGGACAGTTCACCTTGCAACAGGAAGCCACAAGAAAGCCTAGAAATCTGGCCTAACATGATAAAAAGGGGGAGAGAGCAGGAGGAAGGGTGGGAATATGGAGAGACTTATTCAGCTTATTTGGATGAAATGTGTTAATAAAGGCCGCTGAACTGTCATCTAGCATGCCAGGGATGCTATATTTAATCATGAAGTTTGGGTGTGTTTTCCACTCCAGTTTTGAAGTGGAGATATGTGATCCCTGCCCGGCAGGATGCTCTGCTCACACAATGCCATCCTGTGACCGCGCCCTGGTTTCAGGGGAATCTGGGTCTGCAGCTGGAGCAATTAAGAGCAGTTTTCTTGCAGTATACTCACCTTCCCTGAATGTGACATCCCCACACCCCCTCCAATAGATGGAAGATTAGTTCAAATAGTAAATACTGTATTTATTTTTTCTACCACAACTTTTGAGTACGATTTTTTTGAATTTAAATTAGATGAATGTTGATTGCCATTCCTTTATTTGGAAAAGATCTTTCGCTCACTCCCAGAAATGAAATCTGTCTTCCAAGGTGCAGGAAAGAGACAGGAAAGAAGAAACAAATATTACTAAAGAAATAATTACTAATTAATGGCATGCATTTGAGATTTCCTCATTTTCAAGGAATTTGGGCCTGACTGTATCTTATTTGGGTATTATCCAGAAAGGCAGTTAGAAACAGAGAAAAATAAAACAGCGTCCAAGGCTGAAAATCCATGTTGGTTTCAATGTGGAGAAGGAAATTCAAATCCCATCACAGAAATGGACCTTGGAAAATCTACGTTGCTCATCAGAGTGACACAGACAGCACACAGCATAGGAACTTCGGTGCTGTTCATCTTGAAAGGTTCAGGAATAACATGCTTGCGGTCTGCAGATGTTTGAAGGGCTGGCATGTGAAGAGGGGTTAGTTTTTTTTCTGCATGTGTTGCAAAGGGGTTGAACTGATATGTTACTGTGTGAAAACTATGGAGAGACGGATTTCTCCGTGGTGTAAGGGGACGTTTCTAAGGAGCTGGACAAAGATGGAGGGACGTCTCTGCAGAGAGAGGTAGAAGGTTTCTGGTCACTATGCAGAGGCCGGGCGGCTGCTCATCCTCTCGCTGATTCCACTCTTCCTCTTGCTGCCACCCTCCAACCACACTTGTTTTCTTCTGTTCCCCAAAGAAGCCAAGCTCTTTTCCACACTGTCCTTACCTCTGCCTGGAACCCCCCTTCCCCCACTCCCTTTCAGCCTGCTGAATCTTGCTTTTCCCTTAGGTCTCAGCTTAACTGTCACATCCTGATAGTTTATCTCAAGGTCTTTCCTGACCCCCTTATCTAAAGAAGCCCTTACTGTTAAAACTATACTATAACACCTTGTGTTTTTCCGTGAAGGCACTTAACAAATTTGTGCACATATGTATGTGTGTGTATAGACATACACGTATATATCACACGTATGTCATATATATCTCACATATACACACACACGTTTATATAAAACAACACAAATATAATTTGTGTGACTGTTTATTTAATATATATTTCACCACTAGAAGGCGAGCTTTGCCAAAGGTAACGTGTCTGTTTTGTTCACTCCTCTATTCTGTTGTGTACAGCGCTTAGAACATAGAAGGCGCTCAATAAATGTGTTAAATGGATAATGAATTAACGAGATTCAAGCCCCACAGTGTCTGGATTAGTATTCCTCTAAGAGCAGACATGAACCACTAGAGGTGATTTTAGGGCCGGGATCCAGCACTATGTAATATTGCATCACCTTGGGTGAAAGTAATTTCTTTTCAATTTACTTTCAATCCTGATTTTGTCAAAGAGGAAAGTTTGGTTTGGTGACAGTCTTTAATCACCTCTGTAACACTTACCCATCTCCTTTGTCAATGCAGAGAGAGATCAGGCCTCAGCAAGCAACACTCTAGCTGGAATTTCATAATATATATATGTTTTTTATTGTATTCATTCGTTGGTTGCCTTTTCTTTGTGGCAAGTGATATTGATTTTTTTCTTTATGGAAGTGATGCAAAGTTTTCGATTTAAAATAAAACTATATAAGTGAAAATGTGAGTTTATTTAATGAAAAATACTAAGGAAATAGTACTACAGTTGTGATATGATGGTGGTTCTTGAATGATTGGAATTTTGGTTTTTGAAGGGTCTGAAATTTTGGAACCACCTAGAAGGTCACTGGTTCCTAAGAACCCATCGCAAACCAGTACAGATCCATAACAAAGGAAATGCAGTAGGCTCAACGTTTCCTAAAGCTGAATTTATCCATTTCATTCTGATAGCGTGTTTGTTTTTCATATTAAAGTATCCTTTTCCAAAATAGATGGTGATTTTTAAAAATGTCCTCAAGTTGGTGAAATAAAGTGTTGGCAGCCCCATGTTGTTCCTTCCCTGTTAATTATGTAGTGATGGTAGTGTGGGGGAGGCAATGTCACCTGCCTTGGAATCCGAAAGGCTGGGACTTGCTCCTATTGGAGGACCTTAGTGGTCCCTTCCAGTGTGGAGAATGGATTTAATGGTTGCAGGTAAAATCTTGTCTGCCCTCTGTGCACATAGCTATGGAGGCAGAATATCCCACTGTGTGTGTGAGAGTGAGTGTGTGTGTCTGTTGGTCCCCAACGTATGTGCAGATGTATCATACCACCC